GTAACTAAATGCATCGTTCACGTGACTCTCCGTTGGCTCTGCTTCGCCAGCCGGAAAGAAACAAATCGAAAGACGGCGACCTGACATCCTCCCTGATGCACCATCGTCGTGGGACGGATGAAGTGAATTGTTGATATATCTGCTAGGCTGGGAGATGCGGCCTTTCAACCCTATACTTTGATAACTGAGTGTTGTTCGAGTTTTATACAATACATGCGGCGCCGTCGACTTCCAAGGGCTGGCGCTCTGGCAGACCTCCCTCCGTCGAAGATCATACGCAAGATCCTTGCGATACAGCTAGCTTACTATGTCTGCGCTACGGTCCTGATCCTTTTTACTGCCCTGGTGGCTGGTACTTCATTTTCTCCTGACCTTATACTGAGCTGGCGGACTGTTCGGGGGGATACAACTGTCGGATGGACTCTGGGGTTCGTCTGGTTGTTGAACAGCTCACTTGGGTATGTTCTATGGTTATAGGGGTAAATGCTGGTGTGAGCTGACTATTTGGCTATTTATAGAGCTATATTTCTCCTCTTGTTTGTGTCCCGGTCAAAACTGATACCTGACTTCGCCTTTACGCTACATTTCATTCATCTTACAATCACATCCTTTTATACACATTCCGTCCCTACGAATATGCTCTGGTGGGGACTACAGACTGCTAGTGCTACGCTCATGACATTCTTGGGCATGTGGGCGTGTCAGTGGAGAGAGCTACAGCCTATTGCCTTTGGAGGCCAGGCTGCGACTACCGGCACCAGGCAACAACAGCAGCAGCAGACTCCTGCCACAGACGCTGACATAGAGAGTGGCATCGATCTTGAAAACATGTCGAGGGGAAGAGGCAGAGGTCGAGACCGAGATGGCGGCGGAGATTACGTCGAGGTTCCTAGTAAGGAGGTTGAATCTACTGCATAAAGGGGATAATATACAAGTTGGGTACAGGTTCACGGCTCTGGTTATTATAGTTGTATTGCATATACCCCTTTAATTTTCCTTCTCGGGCGGGAGTTTGGAAGATAGCATGGTGTTGGACATTCTTTATATCGTCTCTTTTTTACCCTTTACGTTGTCTGTGTTATCCTTTCTCTATCCTTCTCTTCCTCCTTAATTCTTCTTTTATGAATTGTATGAACAGATATTGCATCCAATACCCATCCTATCCTCTTGTCTTCCTCAACCAAACTCTCTAGACAAGACCGCCCTGCTTCGACCGCAGCTCCCCCAGACGCTCTTTGTATCCGCCGCCCATGTCGACTTTTCCCTCGAGAGCTTCCATCGCATCTAAGACAAAGTCCTGGCAGTTCCAGCTCGGTATGTCGCTGGGTATGGCCACTTTGGACGCTATATCAGTCACATCTGACTCCCCGACGTCGTCTATCTTGCCGATGTAGTAGAGCTCGAGCAGGGGGTCTTGTCTTCACGGACGTCGGCGGTGCGTTGTTCGTACCTGAAACGGCCTGAAGAGCCCGTCGCGTTGAGGACCAGCTTGGTTGGGCCGTCAAGAAACAAAGCCTAATGCTTGAAGGAGCATCCGTCGTCAAATATCGCCGTGTAGACCTTCATCGTATCTCTCCTGCACCTCGCCTACTTCATCGTCGCCTTGCCCTCTGCCGCCTCTGTTCTACTGATTCTCCTTCTATTGCTGTCTTCCAACTTCATCGTTCGTCCCGCATGGCTCAAGCTAGAAAGACGTCATGTGACGCTCCCACGGCCACAAAGTCGAACTGCGGCGGCTTCAACGACTCCAACGTCACCTTGACAAGTCGAACACCTAGCCTGGACACGCAGAGAGAGTGGCCAGACACGAAGAAGTAGTCTATCGTGATCGAAGAATGCTGATGTTGGCCAGGCTCTGCCTCTTTGGCTTCGTCTCGCTGCTAACGTGACCATTGGCGTCATAGAGGAGAGCGCCATAGTTAAACTCGGGTGGTTACCACTGCACCTGCAAGTATATTACCAACAACGCCCCGGACACCCTCCCCCCTGTGAAGAACAGCTCTTAGGCATGCCATTTCTAACGGTCTAGCAGCAGAAATCCTACGAGAGCCTACATATCCTTACACACTATGACCTCGTCTCCGTCGTACGTCGACTACGAGACTTTCCTGGACCCGTCGTTCTCGCCGACCTCGTTCGCCCAGACGCTGGTGGCAACCACCAACAACCCGTCTGATACTCCGCTGGACCTCTCTACGCCGCTCTCTCGCGTGCTGTTCGACATCCAGGAAGTCGACAGCCACGTCCACACACTCACAACCAAGTCTGCTCTACCACTGCTACGGTATACGACGGACACCACTGCCTCAGGCCAACGTGTACTCCTGGCATTGGAGGCGCAGGTTCTGGCGCTGACGGAAGGCTATCAGCGTCTTGAGAAAGATGTGGTGCGTCGCTGGGAAGGGGCTGATGAAGTGCGCGGAGCAGCGGAGCGGTCCTGGGCGACTGTGAAGTTGGCCAGGGCCGTGTCAAGATGCCTGATGCTGGGCAGACAGCTGGAAGGACAGCTGGTGGAGATCAGTGGGCGTGATCGAGAGGACCACCGGGCGCTGGTAAGGGCGTCTCAGACGCTGTTGATGCTTAGACGGATGTTTGCGGACAATAGTAACGGTGGCGATGACGGGGAAGGCGAAGGGTACGGCGCTGCGCTGGAGCGGGTGAAGGTGGTGAGAACATTGAAGGCCGAACTGGTGAACCCAGCAGAGAACAGTGTCAAGGCACGCGCGCAGCAGATCGTCAGTCGGTTCACGCTACCTACAGACGAGCAAGGGGTGGTTCTGCGGCCGGGTGCTGGTGGCACTGGCTCTACATATGCACAACAGGAAGAGAATCGAGCACGACTGATATCAGCCATGACGGCTCTCTACCTACTCTCCCCTACTACTACCCAGACTATATCCGCGGCTAATTTCCAACCAGAACTGCTCCTTGTAACGTTAAAATCGTTCATCCATTCGTCCCTGACGGCCTCGCTGCAGGCCCTTCTTCGAGGACTCTCCCAGCTCCCTTCTCTGGAGCGAGCACTGTTAGAGGTCTCCAACCGTTGCCAGACGGTGGTAGTTCTAGAGAGGATACTCCAGGGTGCCAGACAGCCTGCGCATCCCTTCTACAACCGCGCCGCTAACGATCCATCATCGTCATCATCGTCCACCTTGCCCACTTCTACTTCTGAGAAGAAAGAGAAGCATGTCAAGAACAACCTACTGTATCCATTGCTGCAGTACCTGGACACGACGTCTCTGCCAAGCTACTTCTGGCGCTGTCTTGCATCCGCGCTATCGCCGCGGGTAGGGGAGCTGCTAAACCGTGGCGGAGCGGCCGCTCGGGCCCTGCGAGGGAACCGAGAGAGGCTGCGGGATGAGATCCGGCAGTGCGTATTACGTGGGAGCAGTGCCGGCAGCGCCAGCAGGGAGAGAGACAGGGACAGAGAGCAAGAAGCTGATGGTGGAGGACTTGTCGTGGGCAACTGGGAGAGAGAGGCGGCGGTGATGGTCGGCGCAGTCCTAGGGAATCGATAGGAGCCGGAGTAGTTGGTATATATCATTTTTTCCCCTGTCCTTTTTACCTTTAGTTGCATCCAGTGCAGGCGTTCGTTCTATCATATTCCTTGCATGATACTGTTACCTATCTCACCAACTAGTAGCGTATGCGTGTGTGCTGTATGTATGTGTGTGTGCGCGCGCTCTGTGTATGCAAGCCCTGTCATTTCTGTCAAACCACCTCCGCCAGGCGTCTACATCCACCCACTATCAGCAACCAACTATCTACAACAACGCCGACCACGGCGGGCCATAGTGCCAGGAACCTGGTCCACCCCGGCTGGGTCCTGGATATGACATCTCTTCTGCTTCCTTTTTTTTCCTGCTATCTCTTCGTATTCTCTCTGCTGTGTGGTACAGACAGCAGCAGACAGTAGCAGACATACGACAACACCACCAGCATCAACCATCAAACCAGCCGCAGAACCAAAGTCCAAACTGTCTGACCAGCAGAGAGAGGTACCCGGGTAACATCCTGAGAGGCGCTTCTTCTCCCTGGCCCTGTTTCTCTGTCCCCCATGCTACGCTATGGAACTGGACTGGACGGAATGGTGAGACTTACATGCAGGTACCAACCAGCTCTATAGCTATCAGACTTTCGTTCCCTTCCTTTGCTATATTTATTCTCCGCTGACTACTTTGGAGTAGCCCGTCTCTTCTTTGTTGCAACATGGGGTCGAAAAACGAAGTACGAAGTACCTGTACTCGAAGTACTCCGTACTGCTCTACGTCAAAACAACTCTCTGGCTATGGTTATATAACTAATTGAGCCTGGAGGAGTGGCGGGGAAATGTGCCTGGATCGGTCGATCGACCACGCTCGACCAGAGAAAAAGAAGCAAAAAGCAAAGGCAAAAGCAAAAAAGCGGAAAAAGAAGACCTATCCAGGACAGACAGACTTCGTTGACTGCGCTCGTCGTATCCATTTCAAAGCAAGCAGAAGGCAACGCAAAAGCCAGCATCTGGCTGGAAGTTCTTTCGCCTCTTCACATGCTTTGTACGACGTTAGAGGAGACAGAGTGAGAGGAACAGGCCAGGTCCCCGTCAGGGTCAGGGTCAGCACCCTTTTGTTCCTGGATGGGGGAGCAAGGAGGGAAAACAAGTTGCTCGACGATGGGAATTTGATGAAAAGATGAAAGACTAAGAGAGACGGCTAGTCAACTGCTCCGTACAGTGAGACGTCAAAAAGACAGCAAGCGAAGAGCGAAAGCGAGGGCATGTTATGCAAGGTACCTGTACCTGGACAAGGCTAAGGCAAGGCACAACAGAGAAACAAGTCCATGTACCTTGACGCCGCGCCCACCTTTAGCGTCCAGCCCGGCCTTCGCCTGTTCAAGGGCGTGGAAAGCTCCAGTTAAAGGCGTTCAGTTAAGGGCAAGGGTTGGCCTTAGCTAAGGGCAGCCTAACTAGTTAAGAGGCTAGTTAAAGGGGCTAGTGCATGGCTGGTTAAGCTAGTTAAGGCCTAGTTGAAGGGACCCCCTGTGAGCTGGTCACTTGTTGGCGATGTACCGGTACCTTGCCTGCTCACGCCTGCGGCTTGCCTAGCTGGCTGTCTCCCCGGGACCTCTGACCACTCTTTGGTGCCCCCTCTCCGAGAGATGCCATGGCATGCCATCCATGATGTCGATGTCTCCATGGGCCGCCCATGACTTGCATCCTTCTTGCTGGCTCTGACGTAGCCTTCTCTTCGCTTCTTTAGCCTCATCTCTCGCCGGCTTCCTTCGACTTTATCTCCCTTCTCCTCCTTCTTCTTGTTCTTCTTCTTCTTCTTCCTCCTCCTCCTCCTCCTACTACTCTTCTTCTGCTTTTTCTCTTCCCCTCTGGACTCTCATCAACTCTCGCACCTCTTCCACGCACTACGGACTTACGGACCTTTGACACACTTTGACTGCCAAAGGGGTACTTCCTCGGTACTACCGTCACTGCCGGCCGACTCTGCCCAGACAGAAACAACATCTAGTGCTTAGCACCTTGCTTGCCTCTGCTTGGATCGACTCGACTCGACTTGATCATCTGCGAGGATATCGTCCCCCTCGTCTTCTTTTACTGCGCCTGCGGTGTCACAGGGGTGTCCGTTCTGACTCGGTACCTGAACGACCTCCCTGGGCTATTTTTCAACCCACATCAACAAACGACTCCATCATTCTCCATCATAAATATCCGTTGCAGCAACTCGGATGAGAAAGCGAGTTAACTAAACAATCCAAACACCAAAAAACATCGCCTTCTTCCGTCACCTCTTGCCACTGCATCCAAACAACTTCGCCTAACGTCATCTCTCCTCTCTTTTATTCCCTGCGCTTCAACCCCGGGGACCTCGAAGGAATCCAGTTATTTTGTGCCCTTGTGCCTTTTCCTCTGGCCTTTACCTCTATCCTTTATCCACAACTACCCAACCTCTACCTCTAACCGTCCGCCCACATATCAACATATCAACACACAAAACACCTACTCCGTACCACCGCCATTATTTCGAATGTTTCGGTCATTTCTGCGTTGATCCATATTTACTTCCTCTAGAACGACCCACTTGCCGCCGCCGTCGGTGGGAGTTTTTGCAAGGCCGTCGTCGAGGTAACAAGAGACAAGAAAAGACGAGAAAGACAGCTTAAGACAAAAGAGGGAGAAGTGCGACTGGGGGCATATACTATATATGCATAGATGACACGCTAGACCCCCCGTCAGGACCTTCCTCTCCCGCTCCGGCCTTGGATAACGACTTCACTTCGGCTTTCCTTTTCTCCTCCACTTATCTCTTCTCTCTTACTTTCCTTATCACTGTTTTTCTCTGGCCGGAGAGGCTGTTTTGGTCGCAGGTCGCCAGCAGGAGAAAGTGAAACAAGGGGAAGACGAGCAGGAAATACAACACCAGGAACAGTTAAGCAGGGGATCTGGTGTCGACGATGCCCTCTTTTCTTGCCGTCAATAATAAAAATAACAGAATGACCGTACCTGAGCAGCAGCAGCAGCAGCGGGAGCAGCGGGAGCAACGGAAAGAGCCATCGCCTGGGCCAGCTACGTCGGTGCCTACACTCAACGGACAACCGAACGGACAGCCGCTCGCAGGACAAAACGGCATCGCCTCTCATACTGAACTCGCCTCGAACCATGGAACGAACGATGTAACCGTTACTGAACAGCATCGTCATCAACAACAGCAACAACCGCAATCAGCGGTTCACTACGCACACTCACATACCTCATCCGTCTCGCCACATAATACAAATACCCAGCCCGCCGCCGCCTCAACTCCTAATCGCACCTCTGTCGTTAGTCGCGAGGGCTCTTCTACTCATTCCTCCAACTTCGACGAGATGCAACACCCGGAGTCAGACGGAGATCACTACCAGACTGATAATGAGATCGAAATGGGTGGTACCGGAGATGCCGGACCTTCAGGTACAGGTCCTGCAGGTACCTCAGGGGCTGCAACAACAAATTCAATTACAGCAGCAGCAAACGCAGTAACCGCTGCAGCGGTAGCGGCAGTGGCAGCAACAGCCAACGCTGCTGGCGGGCCTCCATCAAAGAAGAAAAAAGGCCAGCGGTTCTATTGCACCGAGTTTCCGCCTTGCAATCTCAACTTCACCCGAAGCGAACATTTAGCCAGACACATCAGGTAACTGCTCTTCCCGCCTGTTTAAGAAGATAACATAAGCCTGCTAACACAAGACCAGAAAACATACTGGAGAACGGCCATTCCAGTGCCACTGCTCTCGCAGGTTCTCCCGCCTTGACAACCTCCGCCAGCATGCTCAGACTGTCCATGTCAACGAGAACATCCCGTGTGACTCCCTCGCAGCGAGCGGAACCCGATTCCAGCGCCAGGTACGCACCGATCGTGTACGACATAACGGAAGAGCCCGCGCGGGGACCGCCGGCAGCCATTCACACAGCCACAGCCGTAATCTGTCTACCTCTAGCATCTCATCGAACATGTCTAGCTATGCCCCACAGCACCAGGAGCTACGACGAAGGCCACAACCGTTGATGATGGCCGGATCTGGTGCTGAACACCACCATCACACTCGCAGCAGACATTCTCTATCATTAGAGACCAGAGCCGAACCCCCCAAAACACCTCCAAATCAGTCCTCTGCGCCAGGCCCTACCTTCACGCCTTCATCGGCTACATACGATCAGTCGAGCCCTTACTATGCCTCCCCAAGTTCTGCCTACGGTTCCTCGCACTGGCCGGACCGCAACGTTGGTCGCCGTTTATCAGTGCCAACAAGTACGAGACCATTTGACCCGTCGCATCAAAACTATCCCAGCCAGCCCCCATATACTCGCATGACCCATCCGCCTTACCCTAGTCAATCAATAGCACCGGCGCCGCCCCCCGTAATGGCTCCCGCGCCAACAGATCCGGCCCAATATGCAGCTGTAACACCAACCAGCGCAATAGACTCGGGGTTTGAAGCCGATCCCCGACGAAGGACATGGCATCCCTCTTCATACACCGGTTTCTCGCGTCCTCCTCAAGCTACCAGCGGCCTCTGGTATCAGCAGTCTGCTGAAGCACCAGGTGCGACCCCAGGTGGAAACGTCAATGTGCCTCCACTATCTTCACCTTCACAGCCGACGACAACTCGCCTACCAGGTATCGAATCCTTTGACCATGTTCCACCACGCCTGGAATACAATCGAGAACGAGAGGTCAGCCCAAGGAGTTACGACCGCCACCATTACCAGCCTCAACCATACTCCCAACCGCCACCCCCGCCGTCACACCTGATGGGCAGCACCCCATTCGCACCGACATTCAATGCTGGTCCCCGGCCCGCCCCGCCATTCTCTGGGGCAGAGCATAGGCGCGGCCAGTTATCTCTAGATACCACCTTACAGCGCACCTTGACTAGACTAGACCTCCACGGCAACAGTAGTTCTGGTGGTAGTGCCAAGGACGCAACAAGCTGGAGTCAAGCAACGATGGGTGAACTGCAAAGTATTGGCTCACGGCCATCCACGGGAGCCGGTACTGGTCCCCTGAAAGAAGATGAAGATGAAATGGAAGCGGACGAGGGACCTGGACCAAGTGTTCCTACCGAAACATCCCCCACACATCACCAGCCAGCACAGTATGAGATGAATGCAGCAGATCATCATTCGCACAATGTCCATCAGCTACTACTACAACAGCAGCAAGAACAACAGCATCAGCAACTACTTCCCACTAGGCCTAGCGGTGGTGTAGGATTAGGCCGTCTCCAGGCCTTGGTCGACATTGCTACGAGTGAAACTGAACAAGCAAAATATAAGCCTGATGATCCGGCTCATGGATAACGGTCATTCCATTATGTGGTACAACCGGATGATTTATAATGATAGGAACATTTGGGTCACTTTCTTTATACTCCTTATTCCCTTTCCTTTTCGATTCTTCTCTCTTTTGCTTTACATACATTCATCCATACATCCATACCCATACATAAGACGGCCACTAAACCTTGTCTTTCAATACTGTTTCCATTCTTTCTTTTCTTCATTCTGTACCTTTCCCCCTAGTTTGTGCTCTGGCTTTTGTTTCCTGGGACAATGCACCATTTACTTCTATTGCTCTTGGTGGTGGTATTTTGTTTATCCATCATCTCTTTGTCCTTCTGTCGAAAAAAAAATTACTTCTGTTTCACTGCTTGATATTCTATTCCGGTTATCAATGACAGGTATTGCTTGTCCAAAGCAATACTCGGCTATTTGCTTATTTTATGCTACGGGTTATTCTTATGTGGCGACACGGCGTGGTATGAATTATTTACTTAGGCTGCTCTCTCTTCTGTTCTGTTCTGCTCTTCGGATCCTCTCTTCTTGTCCTTTACCCGTTAATGTCTGTTCGGTCGCTCGAATATCGAGTTTACAACAAAAAAAGTTATCTTGAAGAGGGATGAATAAGGATCGAGGAATGACGAGTTGGATGAAGAATGCTGCAATGAATTGAAACGAATTAATGACTCTCTTGTTTTTACCACTTTTAATGCTTCTACTTCCGTTCTTTTGTCCCCCATTCTTCCCTCTCTGCTTGTCTCCTTTCTTCACTTCTTGGTCTGTTTTATTTACTTGATCTTGGAAAACGGGGGGGCTTTTGGTCTGCTCTTCTGCATTCATGGCATATATTACTACTCACTTATTTACCACCAAATTAATACTCCATCACTCTCGTTACCTGGCTCCTCTTTACCCATGACCTTTCTTCCATTGACCCAGCTGGTCATTCACTGTGTTGACGATACTCTCTTATTTCTTTCTTTCCCTTTGAAAGTCGGGATACGAATGAAGCCTCAATGAATTAGACACATACATAGCCACTATGATACCCCACTGTTGCAAGAACCGGATACCTATGCCACTAAAATTGAGCGATGGTGGACTTTTATGCCTGATTTCGTGTATGAGTTGTGACCTTGATATCTGGCTGGCGTTGGCCATCTAATACCAAGTGGATAAAGTTTTTATATTTGGGGAAGTTAGCTAAACTTGACCATTCTATTTGGTAGCTTGGTATATCAATGTACTGGTTGTACAAGATCTCGAAGATAAGAAACCGGTTCATTCACAAACATATCATTGTACAAAGTACCATTATTAAATGTCGACTATCTTATCAAATGCTTTGTATTCTAAACCAATGACCATCTCATTATCCCTTTAACTAATGTTATATAGATTTCCCAGATAGTCCATAGTTCTATACCTTCCTTGCAATCCTCACATTTCTCAATCAATGAGACACTGTGGCACTATCGCATAAACATTTTCTCGATTTACCAGCTTGCAAAGGGCTGCTCTCAGATTGCCACCACATAATATAAGAGGCGAATTTAAGCCTCCCATAGGAGCCGAAAGTAACCCACGGGATACCAAGAGATATGGGTTCAGGGGGCCAACGGGCCGTCTCGGGAACGCCAGGAGGTGACAAGGGGAATCATCCTGCCCCAATGAGGAGAGAAGGGGGAACATCCCAAGACGTGCGAGGAGAAACACCAATCGAAGAAGGAAACGATGTACACGAGGATGGCAATGGCTCGGACGGACACAGGGATAAGAGACAGAAGCGAAACGATAACGACGACCCACGCACTGGGTCTGTGCCCGGATCGAGCTCAGGGCCAGGAACGACGGATCAGGAATTGTATTATGACCTGAAAATTAAACGGAGTGCGTCCGGGGTTGGCCCACAAACACATGATCCAGAGCTGTATGAGCGGATACAGAGGGATGCACGGGCAGGGGTATATATTGGTCCAGGAGCTGTCGTGGTGGCTAGATGTACGCCACATCAACAACCACGGAGAGACACATCTCATAGCCATGGCCATGCTGCAGGCGACACCCTGACCCCTGGAGGAAGGGAGAGAGCAGGGGATGGCCAAGCTGAAACGGGTATTTCGGCTACAGGCACACCAAGTGATGCTGATGAGCTCCCTGCTGTGAGAACGAAGAAACGAGCTAGAGTGGAAGACAGCTCAGAGGAGCCAGGCTCTGGTGTCGGTGAGAGCAGTAATACTGCCAAAATAGACAAGGGCAAGGGCAGGGCTGTTGAAGGAAATAATCGCTCTGATTCAGTTGACCATCCGAGACAAAGTGGTGCTGTGTCCGAATCTGGTGAGTTTGGCAAAGCTTGTTCTATAAAGGAAATTTTGATACGGAGTACAACAAATACTAACCATCCATTTAATTAGCTGAAATTCTCATTTCAAGCGATCAAAGCCACAGGACAGAGTATGATCAATACGGGGTCAGGACGAAGGAGCGTCCAGTTCCGTATAAATCATCAAAGTTCACGCCCTCGCCAGGCGAGATTAAGACGAGGCCTGAACATATCCCATACAGCAGATTCTACCAAGAGAGGCTCGTAAAAAAGCTGCGGAGGGAGTTCGGTCGTATGGGCCGAAGACGCTTACTGCTTCATTTCCCGCAGCCCACACATCCTACTCGGCGGATTAGAACGTGGAGTGCACCGGCCATCAGCCACCTGGGTAGCTTTGGTCAGACATTGGCTAGTGCGCTTCCATCTTGTCCACAGCTGACCAGGCCCGGCCGACGGGTTGGTCTCATTAACGATGGGAAGACACCTGTCATAAAGGAGGAGAGATTGTCCGAGGAAATAGATCCGCAACAGTTTCCTCTTCCATCTATTGAAGAAGAGCCTGAAGGTGAAGCAGGGACGTCAACAAGGAATGAGGTTGAACGTCTGGTTTCAGGGAGTATATCACAGCAACCTCATGGCGAGGCTGAACCCGAATCTGTAGTAGAGGGGCCACCCAGACGGGCTAGGAGACAGGCTGCTATCTCAGGAAGAGAGAAGATGCGGGAGCACACTGCACCCCCATCACGACGCGGTACACGAGGACCTGCTGCCAGAAAGACGCCTGCTGCGCCTTCTGCAGAGTCACGGCCTCAGACAAGAGAGCAGATTTCAGTAGAAATCCCAGTTACCGTCCCCAAAGTACACGATCAAGAAGAGCAAGCTGAAAGCAGCACCCGGCCAAAGCGAGCCACGACGAGCAGGGCAAAGAGCAAAGCTCCCAGTAAAGCCCCGGCAGCGGGAAAGGCCACTCCCGCGCCCGAAACAGCCAAAGCAGCAAAGGTAACCAAAGCAGCTCCTAAGAGGCCAACCGCAAAGGCGAAGACGCAGGCTAAGGGCAAAGCCGCTCCCAAATCGACGGCCGTCAGCAAGGCAGCCAAAGGAGGCGCTGGTAAGAAAAGGGAGTGACAGCCCGCAGTTGCTCGCTGTACGTTATATGTTGTAGCTATGGGTATCTTAGTGTTTAGTCTAGTTCATAACAGGCGTTCTAGAGCAGCCCTATTGCCATCTCCTCTCTTCTCTTCGCTTCTCTTCTTCTGCTCTTTTATTGTCGTTCTTCGTCTTCGTCTTTTTGATATCAAAATTTACGTCATGAAAAGAAGCGCGCGAAGACGCGTGCTCACGTGATCCTAAATTCGATTAAAGTCGAGTCGCGTTGAAAACTTGCAGAAGCCGATTGAAGCTGATGGACAATTTATAGACCTGGAGGAGGGAAGAAGCATTGATTATATTCTAATTACTTATAGTTGCGTTTGTTTGTTGGAAAGGTAGCTTCAGTTATATTATGGCGTCTCGTCCCGAGCTGAAGGTGAGTGTGTTACTTGCAACTGCAATCTATAGCTAAGAGTAATTGAGAGCTAACGACATCTACAGGTTGACGATGAGGTCGGGTTTATTAAATTCTTCCGCTCATTAGATGTCGAAGACGAGTCTACAGTGCGCGTGTTTGATCGTGGTGACTGGTACACTGCCCACGGCGTAGATGCGGAGTACATTGCTCGCACAGTCTACAAGACTACATCCGTGATACGGACGCTGGGACGAAGTGACAGCGGGTTGGCATCGGTGACATTGTCAGTCACTGTATTTCGATCCTTTCTACGAGAAGCCCTTTTCCGTCTAAATAAGCGAGTGCAAATATGGTCGTCACAAAACGGTGCTTCAGGAAGGGGCTGGAAGATGGCAAAGCAAGCCAGTCCAGGAAACCTACAGGATGTGGAGGAGGAGCTAGGAGGAGCTTCTGGGGGAAATGCAATGGACACTGCACCTATCATCCTTGCTGTAAAGGCTGCTACAAAGGCCAAAGAGATGAGACATGTTGGTGTATGCTTTGCGGATGCGAGTGTACGCGAACTGGGGGTTAGCGAGTTCGTTGATAATGACCTCTACTCCAATTTCGAGTCGTTGCTTATCCAGCTCGGAGTGAAGGAGTGTTTGATACCCGCTGAGGGACAGAAGAAGGATGTTGAGCTAGCAAAGCTAAGACAGATTGCTGACAGCTGCGGAGTGGCAATTACAGAACGGCCAGTCAGTGCCTTTGGGACCAAGGACATTGAGCAGGACTTATCAAGGCTGCTGAAGGATGAGACTGGACCTGCTATGCTACCACAAACAGACCTTAAGTTGGCAATGGGTTCTGCTTCTGCTTTGATCAGCTACCTCAACGCAATGTCTGACCCTTCCAACTTCGGCCAATACCAACTCTATAAGCATGACCTGGCACAATACATGAAGCTCGATGCGTCTGCGCTCAGGGCATTGAACCTCATGCCTGGACCTCGGGATAGCATGAAAAATATGAGTCTCTATGGACTACTTAATCACTGCAAGACGCCTGTTGGAGGCCGGCTGCTGGCGCAATGGCTGAAGCAGCCACTGATGAACCATAAGGATATTGAGAAACGGCAGCAGCTAGTCGAAGCCTTTGTCACAGACACCGAGTTGAGACAGACCATGCAAGAGCATCATCTTCGATCCATACCTGATCTATATAGGCTGGCCAAACGTTTTCAGCGTGGCAAGGCCAATTTGGAAGATGTTGTTCGTGTCTATCAAGTGGTTATTCGTATACCAGGTTTTATTAACTCGTTTGAGGGGGTGATGGACGAGCAGTATCAAACACCGCTGGATGCAGAGTATACCGACAAGCTACGGAAACTCTCACAAGATTTAGGGAAACTAGCTGAGATGGTTGAGACGACGGTCGACCTTGAGGCTTTGGACAACCATGAGTTCATCATCAAGCCAGAGTTTGACGATAGTCTACGGATAATCAGGAAGAAACTTGATAAGTTGAGACATGATATGGACTCCGAACATAGAAGAGTTGGCCGAGATCTTGGCCAGGACACGGAGAAGAAACTCTTCCTTGAAAATCACAGAGTGCACGGCTGGTGCTTCAGGTTGACCCGAAATGTGAGTAGAGAAAAGTGGTTATTTTGTTGATATGTCTTCAATACTAATATACCGCAGGAAGCCGGGTGTATTCGCAATAAGCGAGAGTACCAGGAGTGCTCAACACAGAAGAATGGAGTATACTTCACGACATCAACTATGCAGGCACTACGACGAGAGCACGACCAGCTCTCAATGAACTATAACCGGACTCAGACCGGGCTTGTCAGCGAGGTTGTCAACGTTGCAGCCTCTTATTGCCCCTTACTCGAGCAGCTAGCTGGCATCCTAGCACATCTCGACGTAATAGTGAGCTTTGCCCATGTATCAGCACACGCACCAACGGCATATGTGAGGCCCAAAATTCACCCACGAGGAACGGGCAACACCATCCTCAAGGAAGCGCGTCACCCTTGCATGGAAATGCAAGATGATATCACCTTCATCACGAACGATGTCTCTTTGATCCGAGACGAATCCTCCTTTTTGATCATCACGGGTCCCAACATGGGTGGCAAGTCTACCTACATTAGACAGATAGGGGTCATTGCACTCATGGCACAGACCGGATGTTTTGTTCCTTGTTCAGAGGCAGAACTCACGATCTTTGACAGCATCCTGGCCCGAGTGGGTGCCAGCGACTCTCAGCTAAAGGGAGTATCGACCTTCATGGCGGAGATGCTTGAGACCGCGAATATCCTGAAGTCAGCAACTTCCGAATCTCTAATCATAATTGATGAGCTGGGCCGAGGAACAAGCACGTATGATGGCTTCGGTCTTGCATGGGCGATCTCAGAACACATTGTGACTGAGATCAAATGCTTCAGCTTATTTGCTACGCATTTCCATGAGCTCACGGCGCTAGAGGAACGGTACCCCAAGGCCGTGAGCAATCTGCATGTGGTAGCCTTTATCGGCGACGGACCAGCAGCGGAAGGGAAGCAGAAAAAGAAGCAAGAGGTCACGCTGCTATACCGGGTCGAACCAGGAGTCTGCGATCAGTCCTTTGGCATCCACGTTGCGGAGCTGGTCAGATTCCCGGACAAGGTGGTCAACATGGCTCGTCAGAAGGCAGAGGAGCTTGAGGACTTTACTTCCTCTGGAGCTGATGGTGACGGGAAGCAAAAGACCGCAGCGGCCGTGGAGAAGTTCACTGCCGAGGAGGTTGCGGAGGGCAATGCCCTGTTGAAGGCGATGCTGGTCAAGTGGAAGGCCGAAGTCGAGGCTCCTGGTAACGAGAAGATGAGCGTGGAGGAGAAGAAGCAGCGTCTACGGGAGCTTGTGGCCGCGGATGAGAAGCTGCAGGCCAACAAGGTGTTTTTGGATATCAAGGCTTTATAGATATATAACTTCAGCATAAACGGCGTTAACAGCGAGGCCAGTCAAATAAAACCATTTCTTCAACTATCGACTCGAACACATAACTACCTGTTAGCTAGTAATGTATGTCTATCGTCTATGGATATCTTGATTATCTATATGTGGTCGTTCTATGGGCGGTTAATCGCTCTAAGCGCCATTTTGAGTTATCGATAACTTAGTTAAAAAATAAAAATCAGCGGACGACCGCAAGCAAGAACTTTGGCCTGACCCCAGAATCCAACACCCGCAAGCTATCCACGGCTTCACGATAGTCGCTATCGACCTATCCGTCCGTCCATCCATCAATTGAAGCCTCACCGTGGCAAGCGCGGCGCCTAGCAGGCATTGATTCATGCACCCCTTCTCCGTCTTTGCGTTCAGCATCTTCGTCGCTGGCTACATCACCGCACGTTGGGACCTGGTTACCAGACTGTACGAGCTCGCCATCTTTGCCTGGGACCACGGAGTCGTCGTAAGTCTATAACTCTGCCGTGTGAATAATGGGTAGTAAACTAATTGATAAACGATGGCAGACCCGCGCGGCCAGAGGATTCCTGGTTCTGTCGATATTCTTCGCTGCCCTACTTGTACCGCTCAACCATATCGTGACGAGGGAGCTGAAAGTGGTAAATATAACTCATCCACACTATAATGGGAAGACGGTTATGATGGTGGTGATGGCATGCGCGGATAGCTGATGTGTTGAATAGCACCCCCGTTCCGTGCACCACGGGATATCTGCGCGCGAACAGCTCAGACGGCGCGGGTCATTCTAGGCTGACGAAAGAGGGGATAAGAAGGAGAGAGAATGACAGCATGGTGATGAATGATGGCCTGCTACGGGTGTTCTGGCCATATGAAGTTGCGTTGTCTGATGCGCCGGGGGTGATCGTTGGATGGAGGAATTCTGAATTCGACTTGTTTGTTGTTTCTGTGCTGGAGCATGTTGAAGTAGGACCCTACCATACCCATACCCATATCCACAGTGAGGAGATGAGACAATGCTGATATGGTGATAGGCACGCAATGTGGAAAATGCGCTGAGGACGGGGATACTGTATCGCAACAGCCCGCACCCGATATCTCGCATCTTTGGGCTATGCGGGAAGCCAGTGATGCATGTGCTCGGCTCTACGAATGCAGCAGAGGTGCCTACGGCGTTTACCACGTCGCATATCCACGTTACTACGAGCCCGTCGACGGGAGTGCCACTGATATACTGTCCTCCAAACGTGAAGCTACCGCTGCAGGTAATCATGTTCAACCGCCCACACCCAACGAAGATGCAGTACATGTCTCTACGGCCGATTCCGCTGGCCCTGGGCGACAAGCACACCACCTTCGACAAGGGCGGCGGCGGCAGCAGCGGCGAGACGACGCTGGATGAAGTCGAAGTGGCTGAGAGAGAGGCGCGGGCGCAGACATCCCGACTGATAGCCAAACGGCGGCTGGTGACGGTAGTCAAGCATGTGCCGTCGTCCAAGGAGCAAGCGCTTCCGGTGCTAATCAACCAAATCAACTGCTCGTTTGAGATGGACAGGCTGCTCCAGAGCAACATCGGGCTGATCGGGACACGGCCCAAGCGGGCGCTGAGCGTGAGCCAGCGGGTAGTCGAGTCCGCGACGACGGCTTGGGGCGTGGTGCTCTGGGGCATCACGTATGTGGTGATGGTGTGGATATACCCGATCATCACGAAGGGGTTTATAGCCTGCCTGATCGGCCACCGGGTGATTGCAGAGGTGGTGCTGAGGATCCTTGAGTGGCGCGCTGCCCCTGACGCCGCTGCGTTGAAGGACATATCTGCCACGGCACAGCAGATTGATATCCGGCTGCAGCAGTTCTGCTACTGGCCGATCCAGTATCTGACGCTGCGGAAGCGCAAGGACGACTGGGAGAGCGTGACGAACAGCCATCCGGACTATATCCGGTTCTACAACAGCTTGTGGCTGGTGGCTAATGATGTGATTATCGGGATAGCGCTGGGGTCGTATATCGTGGACAATGCGGACAATGTGGCGTCTGAGATCAATGCGGTGCTTACGGGGTGGACGGTTGATGGGCTGCAGCAGACGATCTCCTGGCTGATGGGCTGGCCTGCCGGATTGAAGCTGAACAACGAGCTGGCCGTCTTCCTGGGCGATCTCTTCCTCTGGGTCATTGCCCACTGGGCTAGTAAGAAGAACCCTTTACTCTATCTATTGGTGTATATGTACTAATGGTGTGATGTGTAGGCGCACTGGCGAGCCTGAGACCGTTCCTGTCATATGTAGTGTACATCATCGGGTGTTCCAGCTTCGCGGGAGCCAGCATGTCTATAGCGATGTTCTCCGACCTGCTGTCCATCTTCACGGTGCACATCTACAGCTTCTACATAGCGTCAGCCCGGATCTTCAACTGGCAGCTGACGATCATCATCTCGCTGTTCCATCTCTTCCGCGGCCGCAAGCGCAACATCCTGCGCAACCGCATCGACTCCTGCGACTACGACCTGGACCAACTGCTGCTGGGGACGATCCTGTTCACCCTGCTGTTCTTCCTGCTGCCGACGGTGCTGGTGTTCTACATCACCTTTGCGTCTGCGAGGATGGCCATTATCTCCCTGAAGGCCGGGCTGGACACTTGTCTGGCCTTTCTCAACCATTTCCCCTTGTTTGCACTGATGCTGCGCCTCAAGGACTCTCGACGACTCCCTGGTATGCTTTATTATTATTATCTCTCTGTGGTATGTGTATTAACATGTGTGTCCAGGGGGCACTCGCTTTGAGCTTCGACGGCCGTCTCTTCCACCACCGCCCAACGACCAACTCGAGTACACCGAGACATCTTACATCCACCTCAAAGTAAGTCTATATATTTATTTGATACAAGTAATTGTTTGATATAAGTAATAATAACATTAATCTAGTCCGTCCCGCTGAGTCTCAGGGAAATGTTCGACCAGTACTTCCGCCTCGGCCAGCGCATCAGACAGCACTACCTGTCTCCCCGGGTGATCCTCTGTCTGGCAACCGGCCAGTTCGTTCCCCCCATCCACCGCCGCAACCTGTACAGCCTGCAGTACAGCATGCTGCCTGCCCAGCGAGTGGGCATCGTCGACGTCTGGTCCCGGCTGACTGCAAAGAGCTCGACGGGGCCAGGCAGCGGCGGCGGGAGTGGTCCAGCAGGCAGCTCCTCAGGGGCTCCTTTGTCCTTTCCCCGGGGGTCAACGTTTCCCTTTGACAGGCGGAGGAGATGATCACTCATAATACCATAATACCATAATAATACTACTATCTCTATCACTCTTTGACTATCTTCATCTTCATCTCTTTCTTTTTCCTTTCTCTTCACCCCATCCTTTGTAGACCTGTGAAGACCTTTGTAAGCCTTTGTAGACTGTAGTGACTCTCCACCTTCGCCCCTTTCCCCCTTCTCTTCACAGCATCTCCATCCATTGACTATCCCTTCACCTTCCCTTTGCTATCCCCTTCACCATCCCCTTCACTGCTATCTTCACCATCCTCTTCACTGTCTCCTGCCTCTCTCCTGCATGACAAAGAATCCTTCACTCGTCGTCCTCCCCCGTCGTCGTCCTCCTTCACTCCCTTCTAGCTCCTTCCGCATCGCATCGTCAGGCTATAAAATCCCCTCATCTTCCTCTGTCGTCGACGCTTCTTTCTGTCTTCTTTCTCTCTCCTTCCTTCCTTATCCGCCGAGCTGGCTGCAGAGTGCAGAGAAAAGCTCGGCGGATGCTGCCAGAAGACAAGCCAAAGCAAAAGCCAGCCTATATAAAGACCGACGACGCCCCTCGACCTCGCCCTCTTTTTTTCTCTTCTTTCTTCTTTCTTCCCTCCTTTTTTTTTTTCTCTCTTTCTGCTCAACAACGCAAGCTCGACTCCTTTATCATCGACTAGCGCATCCAAGGCCTCTTTGAGACAACCATAAACAAACTCGACCGCTACTATCGAGCCGTTCAAGAGACCTTGCATCGCAGCTTTCGACTAAAGGACGCCGCAACTCGATCCACGCGCTTCAGCAGCCGTTGCATCACTTCCGACACCCGCCAACGCCGTGAGACTGCTTTATCTTTTCTTCTCGTTACCTACCCAAAAGAAAGAGAAGCTAGGCTCCGGCAGACCAGCAAGATGCACGGCAAGTGGACCGACGAGGAGGACTTCGCCATCGTGGCCCTTCGCCTGGGGACAAACCTGAGCTGGGAGGGCATCAAAGCCAAGTTCGACGCTGCCTTCCCTCCAGCCAACTGCAAGGACCTCGAGTCCCGTTGGAACAAGACGCTCAGGCCGACGCTGTCCCCGGGCCTAGGCAACCGTATTGCCTGCGCATTCGACGACTACAGGCACTACCGACCGCGCCACATCGAAGATGGCGAACAGAGGAGACTGGTGCTCGGCGTTCTGCGAGCGCTGGCGGACCATCCAGCCGAACGGATCGTCCCGCCGCACCCAGGTAAGACTCTTTCCTATCATCTTTGATTTCTTCTTTGGGTATATGCTAATATAAGAAGAACTCGAGTCGTCTGGAGAAATCCAGCCAGCGGCCGCTGCCCCAGCCTTGCAGCCATCGGGCTCGGCTACTCAGCTGTCTGCGCCCCCCCAGCAGCCACCCGCCCCTGAGCAGCAGCAACAGCAGCCAACCGACCCTGCTCAGGGCACTGGGGCCTCGGGCCAGCAGCAGCATGGCAGCGGCCCGACCAGCACAACGGCTCCCGACAGCCCGTTGTTCGTTCCACAGGATGACAACAATGTCGACGTCGCTGACAGTGCCGACAACACCACCGCCGCCGATGCCTCTGCCGCCAATACCACCACCACTACCACCGAAGAGGCCGGCGCCAACAGCACTGTCGCCGTCGACACGCAGACGTATCCGCAGTCCTTGCTGCAGCAGCGTGTCGAGCAGAGCCCGCCTGACCAGCCAATGCTCGAGATCAACGCTGCCGTTCCGCCGCCGCCGCCATCGCCAACCCCCCAGCAGCAGCAGCAGACTCCGCAGCAGCCTAGCTCAGACCTGGGCCCGGTCGTTGTTGACCCAAACATCGACCCCCAGCTCTACGGATACCAGTGAAGAAGAGTAAACAGCCAATTCAAAGTGGAATGATCAAACAGTTACCTAAAGTTTCTTCATTTCATTTGCTCTTCTTCGACAAGAAATCTGCGTCCTGTTCCCGGTTCGAACTCCTCGCTTCGTCAAGCATCACGTCAATTCCTTTCTCCTTCAGGGTCCTCTGTTGGATGTTAGCTGATTTGACATGCTTGCACTCCTTCCACCCCCCCTGCCCTGGGTTCCTTCACTCCGCCCGCCTGACAGACTTCCGGTCTTTTCTCCTCGTCTGACAACAGTCGAGTGTCTGCCAGCCTCCGCCAAATCAAAGAAAGTTCAAGTTGCTGCTCTGGGTTGTTTTACTTACAAACAGACACTTCTTGTACTGCTGAAAGACCTCCTCGCACTCGTTCGTCGACGTGTTACCTCGAAGGAACTCTAGCAATCCTCCTGCGTTAGCTTGCGCTCGTTCAGCTTCCTCCTTCTCGTTGCTCTTCTCAACGTGTGTTCGTTCTCTTGTCCCGGGCCTTTGACAAGTTTGAACTCACTTTCGCTATACCACTTGAGAAAGCACGAGTCGTATCTCCTATCCAGCAGCAGCCATCATCAGTCAACATTCCCTCTGCTTGCTCGGTTTCTTTCGCTTCCTTGGATCCAACGGATATCACCACCGGCCGTCAATCAATGCAACCAGTTCATCGACTTGTTACTCACTCTTTGATCTCGTTGCATTCCGGTGCCAGTGACGCAGACATGTCGGGTCTCGTTCCACTCTCTTATCCAGATAAGCGCTCTTGTTCGTGTTCTGCTGCTCCTCTCAGTCTGCCGTCGGTCGAACTAGCCTGCCTGCCAATACATCCAGGTTAGCCCTCACCAACTGCTTTCTGACACTGCGAGCGCAAGCCGAACATCAGCAATCCAAGCACAGCTCACGCCCACCATTGGTATTCATGTCTCTCGCCAAGCACCAACCATGATACCAACCAGCCTGCGTCGACTACAAGCAAGATACCCAGCAACACGCGGCTGTTCAGACTGACACTGACGCCTCTTCAACTTACCCGTTGTCTTCGAGCCTCTCACCTTGCTGCTGCTCCTGCTGCTTATGCCTTCTGCCTTCTCTCCAATTTTTGAAGTTAACGACATGTCACATTTTGTCAAGTCGGGTTCTCGGTCAACATGCTCGTCAACTTCCAAGGCACTCACTCAGGCTCTTTCTCTCTCTCTTTCAATCTAAGGCAGCAGTCAGCAACAGCTCAGACACGGGTCAAGTTAAGGGACCAATCTTGTTTCACGGCTCTATCATCACGATGACGACTACACTTACTGACAACACTTCTCACGCTTCTGACGCGTTTTGCTGCTTCGATCTTCCAGTCCAGCCTGCCGAACAACCCCAGGTCAACATCCAAGTTCGGTCTTCAAGCTTTCCATGGACAACTACTTCTTACCACCTATGAAGCACACATGTCAGCTCAAGTCACCAAGTCACCAAGTCATCAACAAGACATCAACCAAGTGTCATCACAAACACGCCTGAAACGTCAACCTGCTCTGCTGTCTCACACCATACACTCCCAAATACGAACCTCTCTCAGCTGAACTTTCTCTCCTCCTACTCCTGCAAGCCCTCGAGATTTTGGGGTCGAATGCAACAAATAGATGCAAGACCAGGCAAGACACTTCCTCCAAAAGAGCTAACAGCTAACAACTTACTTCAAAGAGTCTCTCACTGACCACTCAGCCTAGGAGCAACCGACGAACAACAGCTGCCGGTCACAAACTGCTCGGAGCTCAAACAAAGTCGACAAACCAAGTCGTCAAATCAAATCAACAAATCAAATTGTCAAATCAAAGCAGTCTCACGATATTTCTCGGAGGATCAAGGATATCTTGCTGTCAAATCTGTTCTCTTCTTCTCTTGTTCTTCTTCTTCTTGCTATATTCTTGCTCATCTTTTGCTATAAGTTTCGATGTTTCGTTTCTTTTGAAGTCACTTTTGACGTTGCGCGGCTTAACTTTTCGCCGGTTCCGATGAACTTTTTATTTTCTTTTTCGGATTTATTTTTTTTTTTTATTTCGTTTATCAAACTTCCTTCGCCTGCTGTTGAAAAGAGAACATCGCAGGTTGAAAAGTTGAAGTCGATGAAGCTGGTCAAATTGGTATTCTCTTGCAGCTGCTGCACAAGGATGCGTTTTGTCATTTCCACCTTTACTTGAGACTGCACAAATACAAGCAAGCTTATCCTCATACCCGTACCATTTGCTTTTCTCCCAGTGTTATCTGTAGCAAGTGCTGTCGAGATGGACGCCGAGGGCTTCCCGGCCTTCCAGGAGCAGACCCAGGCAGCGCTGGTAGACGCCGTCAAGACGACCAACCGCATTGCGTCCGGCGACCTTGCCTTCCACCGCTCCTTCGACTCGCCGACCAGCCGCAGCCTGACGGAGCAGAGCAACCGCCTGCTGAGCCTGACCAACTCGCTGCTGCGCATCGCATCCGCGAACAACCCGGACTCCCCCTTTAATGCGTCGAGCTCTTCAGCATCAGCGGATTCGAATTCAAGGAGCGGGAAGAACAAAAAGAAGAAGCCCAAGACGGTGCTGCGCGACGAGGACAGCGTGGAGGAGAACTGGAAGGATGTAGTGGATGTTATCGACGAGCTTCTGGAGAAGGCCGATGCATGTCTGGACGAGTTCACAGGCGTGATCAAGAAGTACGCTCCGGCGCAGGAAGCACAGAAGAAAGAGACGGCTGGATTCCCGCGGATGTACAGCCATGGGTCGTCGAAGATAGCGAAGCCACAGCTCCAATTCGACGTCAAGCTAGACAACGCGGATGATGGACGGGCGTTCAGGCCGTTGCTGAAAAGCAAGCCTCATGCCCTTGTTGGACTGGAGGAGAGTCTCGGGGGCAGCATCCAAGATCCTACCAAGCCGTGAGTTACCATCTACGTTCCTTTATAACTGATGATATACTAATTTTGGGTCTAGGTACAACCATCCGTATGAGAAAGAGATTGAGGCCTCGACGTATCCGGCTCGAGTGTACGAAAAGGCCGAGCCAACGATGTACACGCCCGTAGCCGACAGCAAGGCCATCTTCGTCGAAACCCTGGAAGACGTGCACGCCATGTTATCGCAGCTGAAGCAGGCCAAGGAGATCGCAGTCGACCTGGAGCACCATGACAGCCACGTCTACCATGGCCTGGTATGTCTGATGCAGATCAGTACGCGCGAGCAGGACTGGATCGTGGACACGCTGAAGCCATGGCGTGACCAGCTCCAGGTGCTCAACGAGGTATTTGCAGACCCGTCCATCATCAAGGTGCTGCATGGCTCGAGCATGGATGTGATATGGCTGCAGCGGGATCTGGGGCTGTATCTGGTCGGGCTGTTCGATACGTTCCATGCTGCTAGCGCACTGCAGCTGCCGAAGAAGAGCCTGAAGTTCCTGCTGCATGAGTACGTGGGCTTTGACGCCGACAAGCAGTATCAGACGGCTGACTGGCGGATACGGCCTCTGCTGGCGGGCATGCTGGACTATGCGAGGTCAGACACGCATTTCCTGCTGTATATCTTTGACCGGCTGCGGAACCAGTTACTTGAATTACTGCCGTCGTCGTCAGAAGAGAAGGAGTCAGGGCCGGGAGGAGGCGGACGGGAGGCCATTGAGTATGTGCTTGAACGGTCCAAGGAATGCGCCCTGCAGCGCTACGAGCGGCCTACCTACGATGCTGCTACGGGACGAGGCAGCGGCGGATGGCACGATATGCTGTCCAACAGCCCCGTGGCGCTGACACGCGAGCAGTTCGCTGTCTTCCGGGCACTGCATGAATGGCGCGACAAGACTGCCCGCGCGGACGACGAGAGCCCGCAGACGGTGCTGTCGAAGCGGGCGCTGTTCCGGCTGGCGCAGGAGATGCCAGAGGACAAGTTTGCGGTGCTGCGCATGGGGTCTCCAGTCTCTGCGTCGCTGAGGAGCAGAACCGACGAGGTGGCTGGCCTGATCCGCGAGGCAAGACAGCAAGGCGGCGCTACGGGGCCGGAGATGCATGAGCTGATCCGGCGACGATCTCCGGCCGGACATGCGGCTGCAAGTTCGAGGAGGATGGCTACGGCTGCTACTACGGCTACTGCTACTGGCAGAGCAGAGGAGGAGGCGGCGGCGGCGGCGGCGGTGGTGGTGGGTAGGGATGGGGATGGGGATGGGGGTGCTGTGGATCTCAGCAGGGCTACTGGTGCTGCTGGTGCTGGTGCTGGTGCTGGTGCAGCCGCCCTTGCATCGTCCACTTCGACATGTGCAGTGGGAGTGCGGACTACGGAGTCGCGGTTCTGGGGTCAAACCGGGCTAGAGAATTGCAGTATCAACTGCAACGATGATGAATATAATCATAATGATACTGATATTCATGGATACAGCGTGTCTGCATCGACGCAGGCCCTGCAGCTATCCCTGCCGCTCCCGAACATGCCTGTCCGGCTGGTTGAGGGTGAAGTTCCCCGGCCAGTGGAAGACGAAGGAGAGCCATCTGAGGATGAATCTGGAGAAGATGAGGAGGAAGACGAAGGAGAAGAGGAAGAAGCAAAGGTGTCACAACGCAACGAGATCTTCACTGTGAGACAGTTTGGAGCACCGCCGCGGAGGAGAGACGGTCTACGAGACGACACTGGTGAAACGGCGTTTGATAAGGATGCGTCTGAGATCCTGCTGGACGAGGGCAGCGCCAGGAAGAAGAAGGAGAAGAAGAAGCAGCTGAAGCAGAGGTCCTCGCTGGGCAAACGACCGCGAGATGAAGGCGAGGAGGCAGGCAGGCCGTTTGACTATGCGAATGCTGAGTCCCTGATACACCGGGAGAAGCAGCAGAAGAATCAGAATCAGAATCAGAAGCAGAAGCAGCAAGGCAACGGCCAGCGGTTCAATCCGTACAGCAAGCTGCTGGAAGCGCCATCTGGAGTCAAGAAGCCTCGCACCGAGACTGCCGGCCGCTCCCACACCTTCAGATAGGAGAAGCACAAGAAAGCAGAGACAGACAAGAAGCACAAGATGGATAAGACAAGAAGGACAAGAAGAAGAAGAGGAAGAAGGAGAGGAAGACTCTGTCGTTATCCACCGGCAGCCTCCACCCCCTGACCCTGGCAGCTCCTTAGCGTACCAAGTAATGAAGTCATGGAAAAGCCACTGAAAGGCAAGCAAGCGCGAGACTCGAGATGCGTCCCCGTAGAGTCCCCAGTAGAGTCCCAGTAGAGCCCCCGGTAGAGCCCCAGTAGAGCGTCCAGGAAGAGTCCCTGGCGATACGAACCCCGTCGGCGCCTCGTCTGAGATCGGAGACGCTGAAACACGGCGTGTCGCAGGTTGATTCTTCGTCTTTAACTGTCGTTACTCGAGTCTTAACTAGTCTCGACCAAGTCTTTAACTAACTCTTTAACTAAGTCTTTAACTAAGTCTTTAACTAACTTAACCATCTTCAACCAAGTCTTTAACTAACCTTTAACTAACCTTTACCTAACCTTTAACTAAGTCTTTAACTAACTCTTAACCAAGTCTTTAACTAAGTCTTTAACTGGCTTTAACTGGCCACGCCCCACCGCCGCCCTCTCTTAGCCCCTTTCGACTTTCTTCTTCTTCTTCTTCTTTTCTTCTTTTCTTCTTCTTCAACTTCCCGACTTTCTTCTTCTCCTCCTCCTCTTTTTTTTTCTTTTTTTCTTTCTTTTCTTTCTTCTTCCTCCCCGCGACTTCGCCTCGACTTCATCCTCGCCCTCTCTCTCTCTCTCTCTCTCTC